CCGCGCTGGCGCAACTGGGTGCGTGTCTCGGAGCTCCCCTGGCTCCGCGACCACAGGATTAACGGGCTCATCGTCTACCCGGCTGCCGGGTTCATCGCAATGGCAGTCGAGGGCGTCCGCCAGCGCGCTATCGCCCGCGGGACGGATGTCGAGGGTTACGAGCTCCGCGACGTGCGCATCGGCCAGGCCCTGGTCATCCCTGAGCCGGTCGAGGAGGTCGAGACCATGGTGACTATGCGACCGTATGCAGAGAGCGCTAGGGGGTCCTCGACCGTGTGGGATGAGTTCACGGTCTTCTCTGCGGCCGAGGATGGGAGCTGGACGGAGCACTGTCGTGGTCTTGTCTCGGCGCGGCCTCGGGCGCCGCCCAACGAGGTCAACGGCGCAGCTTTGCTCGAGGCCGAGAGGCAGTGGCACGTTGAGAACAGGCGGGAGGCTGAAGCCGCATGTGCCAACTTCAGGACTGCAGCCGAGTTGTACGCTGCCTTTGCGAGTATCGGCCTTGAATACGAGGGCACTTTTACCAGCGTCTCGTCGACTTCTTTCGGAGGCGGACGCGCTCTGGGGCAGGTCATCTACCCGGACGTCGAGGCGTGCATGCCGATGCAGCACCACAGCCCGTTTGTCATCCACCCGGCGTTCCTCGACTCGGCTTTCCAAGTTGCCTTCTTCGGGGTTGCCGGTGGGAAAGGGGCAATGGTGCCCACCTTCATCACAAAGGCATACATCTCAGACGGCGTGACGAGGACCGCCGGAGACGAACTCGCCGTGTATACCAAGGTCGACCGAGTCGGTCAGCGAGAGACTGACATCTCCCTTCAGATCTACGACAATAACGTTGATGAAGCCAAAGCCGTCGTTTCCGTCACGGGGCTTACCATGACTTCCCTCGGCGGCGGTGCCGATGGTTCCGGAAAAGAGGCACCGCAAGGCTGCTACACCCTCCGATGGCGACCTGATCCAGAGCTCCTCCTTCCCGAGCAGCTTGCGCCGCTGTGCGAGGGGCTCAGGACACAAGGCCCCGATGACGAGACGCTCAAGCTCCTGGACGAAGCTACCTTTTACATGGCCGAGGAAGCTCTTGCAAAGGTGCCGGTGGATAAGCTGTCTACGCTGACGGACAAGAGCAAGAAACTGTACGGATCGTTCGAAGGACTCTTGGCAAAGGTGTATGCCGGGGACATGCCTCAGGATGTTTCCCGGTGGACCAGGACAAGTGCAGAGGAGCGGGCAGCCGTCTGGGAGCGCGTCAAAGCCGCCGGTGACGAGGGGGCTCTGTATCTTGCCCTGCGGGCTGACCTTCACCGCATCATTCTCGAGGAGACAGATCCTCTCTCCGTCGTGATGAAGGACGACGTCCTGGGACGATACTACGCCGCCGACGTCCGCATGAGCACCCAGTGTCGCCAGGCCGCAGCTTACGTGGACCTCCTCGCCAACAAGAACCCGCAGCTCAAGATTCTCGAGATCGGTGCTGGAACGGGCGGGGCGACGATCCCGATCCTCGAGGCCCTCGGGGGAAAGTCGCCCGACCAGGTGCCGCGCTTCGCGTCGTACGACATCACCGACATCACTACGGGTTTCTTCGAGAAACTGCGGTTGAAGACGACGCCGTGGGAGTCTTTGCTCAAGTACGGCCGGCTGAACATCGAGCAGGACCCAGGCGCGCAGGGTTATGAGGTCGGGTCGTACGATGTCATCGTCGCGTCAAATGTACTCCACGCAACGGAGAAGATGGACCGCACCCTGGAGCATGTCGGCAGACTCCTCAGGCCGGGCGGAAAGCTGGTGCTGGTCGAGCTGATGCGGGACGTCCGCGCGTGCACCCGCATCTTTGGTGTATTTGACGGGTGGTGGATTGGCGCTGCGGATCGGAGGAAGGACTCTCCCCTGTTGAGTGAGGATGATTGGGACGCGTTGCTGCGCCGGACGGGATTCACGGGGCTTGATCTGAGGGTCTGGGACCTGCCTGATCCGGAGGTGCATCAGGGGACGACGATGATCTCGAGAAGGGTGGGCGAGGCCGATGGGGCGAGCGAGCCGGGCTTGTCGGTGGTGGTGGCGGCAGAGGCTGACATTGACAGCCCTGTCGTCAGGGCCTTGAGGGACTGTCTGCCAGGACGGGTCGGTGTGCGGACGGTCCAGGACAACCAGACGATCCAGGACAACCAATTTGCCGACTCGGTCGTTGTCATTGCCGAGCTCTTCACTTCCATCCTGAAGAACCCCACAGACCAAGACCTCGACAGGATCAGAAGCATCCTCCTCAACAGAGATGTTGTGCTCTGGGTGACGCGGGGCGCCAGGTCCGTCAACCCGAACCTCAACCTGGTGAGTGGCCTGTTGGCCACGCTGCGCGCTGAAGTTGGAGGCTTGCTTGCACATCTCGACCTAGACCCCGATCGGAGCGAGCAGGAAGCTGCGAGTACCATATCGCAGGTGCTTGACGCAGTTCGCTCCGGCATCCAGAGAGATCTCGACTTCTCGGAGCGTGGGGGCGTCGTGATGATCCGGCGCTGCGAGAAGGAGGACACGTTCAGCCGGGCTGTCGCATCAACGCTGGATACCCTCGTTCCCGAGATGCAGCCTTTTGTCCAACCTGGTCGATCGCTGAAGTTGAGGGTCGATAAACCGGGGCTGTTGGATAGTTTGTATTTTGTTGACGATGAAGGCATGGCGCCCGAGGGGGACGAGGTCGATATTGAGGTGCAAGCGACGGCCCTCAATTTCCGGGACGTCATGATGGTAAGTCGCCTAACCTGAATTCGAACGCTTTGCTAATCCGCCACCTAGGCCATGGGACAAATTGAGACGTATGACCTCGGCGCTGAGTGCAGCGGCGTCGTTGCCAGGATCGGCCCTGGAGTCAAGTCCGTCAGGGTTGGCGATCGAGTCCTCGCGCAAGCGTTTGGCACCTTCTCGACGCTCGCGAGGACCCGCGAGATGTTTGTGTCCCCGATTCCCGACGGAATCTCCGCCGAGGAGGCTGCGGCGCTGCCTATTGTCTACTCGACGGCTGTGTATGCCCTGCGAGTTGCGCGCCTGACGGCCGGGGAGACGGTCCTCATCCATTGTGCGGCTGGGGGCCTCGGACAAGCCCTGGTGACGCTCTGTCGTCTCGCAGGCGCCGAGGTGTACGTGACCGTCGGCACGGCCGCTAAGAAGCAATTTGTCATGGAGAAGCTCGCTGTGTCTGAGGACCACATCTTCTCCAGCCGCGACGTCTCCTTTGAAAGCGGCATCATGCGCGCCACAAACGGCAGGGGTGTCGACGTTGTCTTCAACTCACTCTCGTCCGAGCTGCTCCGCGCGACGTGGGCGTGCATCGCCTCGTTTGGGCGGTTCATCGAGCTCGGCAAGCGCGACTTTGCCGTCAACTCGAGGTTGGATATGGCCGGGTTCGCGAGGAACGTCACCTTTGCGGCCGTCGATCTCGCCGCGGTGATACGAGAGCGGCCGGAGGAGGCGGCGGCGGTGCAGAGGGAGGCTGTTGGTCTGGTGGCTGCTGGGAAGGCCTTGCCGCCGCAGCCTGTGGCGGTGTATGGGATGGAAGACTTGCAGACAGCGTTGAGGACGATGCAGACGGGTCGGCATATGGGAAAGCTGGTGATCAAGCCGACGCCTACTGACCGCGTTATGGTGAGTGTCCCTTGAGTGAGGTGACGGGGAGTTTGGATCGAAGATAACTGACATTCCGCGTGGGTAGGTTATGCCGCAGAAGGAGATTCGACCGAGGTTCCGTCCTGACGCGAGCTATCTCCTCGTCGGTGGTCTCGGCGGCATCGGCCAGGCTTGGGCGCTCAGGATGATCGAGCTGGGGGCCAAGAACCTGATTTTCATGTCGCCCAGCGGCGCCAGGAGTGCCTCGGCAAAGGCAGCCGTCGACAAGATGCGGCAACTTGGTGCGGCCGTGCATGTGTTTGAGTGCGATGTTGCCGACAAGAACAAGCTCTCCTCGTGTCTTACGGACGCTGCCTCCCTCCCGCCGATCAAGGGCCTTTTCCACGCCGGCAGCAATTTCGCAAGCGACCTGTTCAGCAACATGACGGCGGCGACGTACGCCACAGGCTTGCGGCCCAAAGTGCACGCGACGTGGAACCTGCACGAGCTGCTCCCGCGCGACATGGATCACTTTGTCCTCTTCTCCTCGGCAGCGGGGATTGTCGGTAACGCAAGTCAGGCCGCCTACACGGCTGCTTCATCGTTCCAAGATGCGTTTGCCGCGTATCGTCGAGAGCAGCTCGGCCTGCCGGCTGTGTCTGTCGATCTGGGCATGGTGGGCGGCGTAGGCCATGTGGCGCGGCACGTCGACGTTCGACGCAGCCTGGAAGCGCAGGGCTATGCTGCGGTATCGCCCGAGGAGTGCATGGCTGTCCTTGAGGCGGCGGTGGCGAGGCCGTCCTGGGCGAAGAGCGTCGTCGCAGGCGTAGGCGAGGCTGATGGGGGCAGTGACTCGCTCGTCTACGGCACGCCGGTCATGTCGCTGCTTCGCCGGGCGGCTGTCGCCAGGGCAGCCGGGGAGGTATCGGCGAGAGGGGGTGCGAAGGGCAGTGGAGGGTCAGCCGGCGCATTACGGGTGCGCGCGCTACTGAAGAAGGCGACGACAGTCGAGGAGGTTGAAGGCCTTGTGTCTGCGGCTGTGCTGGCCAAGACGTGCAGTCTGCTGATGGTGACGGCCGAGGACGTCGACGTGGGACGCCCGATGAGCCAGTACGGGCTCGATTCCCTGATTGCAGTGGTGAGTTGCGAGAAGCCCCCAGCCCTTGGGTGAACTTGAACTGACGTGACGGCGATGTAGGAGATGCGCAACTGGATCGCGAGCGAGATTGAGGTGACGGTGCCGGTTCTGCAGCTCCTGGGGAGCCAGAGTATCGGGGAGCTGTCGCGGGGAATAGCGCACCAGACGCGTGTTGTCAAGGCGCTGGAGATGAAGGATGTGTGAGGATGTTTGGGGCAAAAAAGGACGTGAGGTGGGAACTGAAGGGCAAAAAGCAAAACAATGGTCACTACCAGGATCGAACTGGCGACTTTCGCATGTAAGGACCAGGTGCAGGACACCGGTTATTAGTACGACACTCTAACCAACTGAGTTAAGCGACCATTGGATGACAGGACAAGGTCTGATTAGGATTATGTATTTGATTGTGAAAAACATTTTACGTCAGGACTCGTCGTCCAGCGCTGCGCAGCGAGATGACTTCGGGTTGCAATCGTATTCGACCTTTGCACGAACCGAGCCTTGATCATTCGTTCATGGAAGTCATTAGTCGGCTTATGTGGTAGTGACCCGACCTCGCTGAACCCGCCCTTTGGTTCTCCGATCGTGACCCAGTCCTCCATGAGTCCTATGCCCGCTCATGCAACACCTCCGAATACACCTTCTGCCACTCCGCTTCAACATCATGCTCGAGCATCCACCAGTTCGGACTAAAACGTTCCCGCCATCTCGCGATCCATGTCTCCTCATCCGGCGCCGCCGCGATGTAAGCGGCCGTCTTCCGGTCATAGGACAGCTGCCTCTCGACACGTTCCAGGAACGGTCGACGGGTGCGGTTGAACAGGTCCAAAGCAGCGGGCATGTCGTAGTCGCTGTCGCTGTGGAAAGCGTTGAGGGAGCGGTAGAGGGCCCAGGCGTCGCCGAAACCAAAAGTCGCGCCGGCTCCGTAAGCGCCTGCGGTTGCTGCGGATGCACTTTAGTGGTTGCCACTGTTGGGGGTTGAGAGAACTCACGATGTGCTGCATCGCCGATGAAGGCTATCCTGTCGTCGCGGGTCATGTTCTCCATCCACGCCGCGCCTTCGAGGCGGTAGGCATCAATGTCGGGCAAGGCCGAGACGACCTGTGTGATGATCGGGTCCCAGTCCTTGAAGTGTCTCTGTAGTCGCGCGATACCTTGCTTGCCCTGGTCCTGGCCCCATGAAAGTGGCTCGGCGGTCTTTTCATCCTCTCTCACGATGGCCACGATGCCATATTTCCCCAGGCCTGTCGGTCAGTCGATAAGTGAAAAGGGGGTAGGGGCTTAACTCACCGACTTTGGACATGTACATGACCTCACCCTGCCCCTTTTGCCACGAGGATGTGCCCTCGGGAAGGTCCTTGATGTGCGCGAGAAGACTCTCGGGGAAGATCTTGCGGTACGCTACTACACCTCTGTACGTCGGGATGGACTGGGGGAGATATTGCCTACGGAGTTTCTAGGAATCGTCAGTTTCAGTCCGGTCGTCTTCACAGATGAACGTACAGAGTAGATACCGTCAGCGGCTACGACAAGATCCGCGTGGACGACTTCGCCATCCGCAAGTGTAAGCGCCGTGCTCCCCCGGCCGGGCGTCCCCGAGACATCTGCGCGCACGACGTGCTTTCCGTAGCGAATCGTCTCTGGCTCAACGTGCGACAGGAGAAGCTCGTGCAGCGGAACGCGGTGCGTCCGGCCCTCTCTGTACTCCGGGGCGGTGTGCGGAGACTCGGAGATGCCGAGGGCCTCACCGGTGCGCCAGTGGCGGTGGTTGATGCCCGTCTCGCCTTGGTACATGATGTCTCGCAGCTGACTGTAGTCTGGGAGGATGTTGCCCAAGACTCGAAGGCCTGGAGGGAAGTCAGCACTGAATGGGGAAAAGGTGAGGGGGTTCGCTTGCCTGAGACATTCATGGCGATCCAGGCGCCGACTTCTCGTGGTTCCGGGGAGCGCTCGTAGACGGTGATGGTGACGTTTGGTAGTCGAGCCAGGGCCAGGGCGGCCGTGGCCCCGACAAGGCCAGCGCCGACGATGCTGGGGGTGTCAGTACGCTGAAGTAGAGGTCAGGGGCAGGGGGTGAGGCTAGGCTTACGCGATGTTCAGGGGTTCTGGGGTACTGGTTGTCGCTGCTGGCATGGTGGCAGTTCTGGGGGTTTATTGAGATCAGGCCGAGACGGTAGCAGGATGATTGAGTCTTTCGGGTCTCTCGTGATGGGTGCGGGTTGAGCTCCGCCGATGCCGCAGCATGTCCGATTGCGCCATTGCTGCTGGCCCCTTTTCGGACGGCGGGTGTCGATTTTTCGGGGCCGGGTCGATTGACTTCGGCCCACGAAGTTTGGATCTCAGCCGACTATTGACTCACCCGAGTTGATCGGTCCCATCTTATAGACGTCGTGAAGTCTGGCTCTCATGTCTCCGAGTTAGAGCCTGGAGGGTGTGCTCAGGTGCTGCACCCTGAATGGAAATGAATTGGCGGTCGATTCAGGGGCATTTCCCCGTGTTCAGCCCCTGGTCAGCACCTCCCACCAGCCACAAAGAACTTCTAAACTTGAACGATGGACTTATTCAAGTCAGTTTGAAGAATTCAGTTACCTCGTACAAACCACTGCGGAGGGGCATCTTCTCATTGATCCCAACGCAATGAAGACAAGTCCTCGTGCATGAGGTACCTGAATGCAACGCCCAGGCCCGAGACAGAGAAGTACTACTGCTGTCTCGCTCACAGAGTCTTACCCCATGTGGCGCCCTAACAGCGGAGCTCACCCAGGGCTTCCACCGCATCGCCACTCCACGCCCCCACCACACACACTATGATCACAGAGATTCACCCTGAAACACATCAAATCCCCTCATGGTGTAGTTGGCTATCACGTTGGACTGTAATTGTTTATCTCTTTCATCTGAAGGTCACCGGCTCGATTCCGGTTGAGGGGATCCAATATTTTTGTCTTTTGCCTCTCTTTCTTCACCAAGAGGTCTCCCCCTGCTGATGGCCCTGTTCCCTTGGCCGATTGCCACCAAACCCTCTCATGGTGTAGTTGGCTATCACGTTGGACTGTAACTGTTTATCTCTTTCAATCTGAAGGTCACCGGCTCGATTCCGGTTGAGAGGAGGATATCTTTTTGCCAACCTCTCCATGGTTGGGAGCGGTCGGGCTGGATGGAGCATTCTGCTTTTGGCTAACCCCTGTTCATCTCGGCGTCGGTCGGCATTGTCCCTTAGAAGGCAGGTCTGTTTGATGAAGCATGCTAATGACTAAAGGTCTCTGCTTTGTGAATGAAGCCTTGTGCTGTCTGGACCCGCTCGTGACGTCGGGACCAAATTCCGCTGCTCGGTGGAGCCGAGCCCCTATTTTGCGATCAACAGCCGGATGCCGAGATATAGGGGCTGTCGGTCCAGGTATCTCTGCTGGGGCTCTCATAAAAATGGATCGAGTCTCATGCCGAGGCAGCGAAATGGACTGGGCTGATCTGGAGCGCGAGTCCCCCAACGTATCTTCAACACCTTGTACGGAACAAGAAACTGGGGATCATCTGAAATCGGCGCCCACTGTTATTTTGGAAGCGAACACAGAGTAGGATTTAAAGGGCGCATCTGTTCGAAAGAAAGGCTTTTTCACAAACTGTGAATAAAGTTCCAAAGCTTCTCAGCTGAGTGGTTTGCAAATCAAGGTTGTGTGGCGCCACATTGTCACCGACTTTTTTATGCCAGGCATGGGCTATATGGAATCATCAGAAGTCTCGCAGGGTACCAGTTAAAAAAACATGCAGAGTAAAATGCTTGGTGTAGACATTGGCGTGTCTACTTGTTTGCCGTGAAAATGGTGATCTGCTTGCCCAGTCTGTGGACTTGTTTACCCTGTCGGTCTGTCTAGTCTGTCAACTGGCTCAGCCTGTCAGCTGGCTACCTGGTAGCTAACTCAACTTGAGATGCACTTCGTGTTCATCGGAAAGCTAGGCTTCATACCTCCAAACCAGGGAAATATGATGAGGCTGCCAGATCATCCATGCGCTGTGTCTACTGCTGGGCAGTCATTACCGTGCTCTTCTCACTTGAGTCGGCCGTCAACGATCATCAACAACGTAGGTAGACAGTTTACAGCAGGGGCTCCCGCCTGGTTGTCCGTTCACTAACAACATTTCCTACACAATCATGCGCACCTTAAGCTTTCCCCCCTTAACCACCTCCTCCTCCTTCGACAGCAACTCCTCAACATCCCACGTCGCCGACAAATACCTCGCAGCCAACCACTCCCTCCTCTTCTCAGTCAAAAACACCAGCGTATCCGCACAAAGCTTAGGCGTCTCCGTCAGCGCAACCTGCCTCTCCACCGGCAGCCGCAGGCCCATCTCAGTCGCCACGCCGCCCGGGTGGATGACATATGTCAGCAGCCCGTCCGGCCCATGGTCAGCATCGAGAAACTCGGTGAAACGCTGCACCGCCAGCTTGCTCGTCTGGTACGCCGACGCCCCCGGCGCCACGAGGTGCGCCGCGATGCTGCCGAGGTTGACGATTGTCTTGTCGCCGCCGCGCGCTGGGTCCAGAATCTGAGGCAAGAAAGCCCGGCTGACGAGGTACGGACCCGTGACGTTGACGGACCAGGTCTTGAGCCACTCGCGAGGGTCACTGTCGGCGATCTTGGCTCGCTTCTCGAGGTAGCCTGCGTTATTGATGAGGATGTCGAGTCGCGGGAAGGCCTTCGCGATGGCTGCGGCTGCGCGACCGACGCTGACCTCGTCTGTTACGTCGAGCTCAACGGCTTCGACTTGCGGTGCGGCCCTCCCAGCCGCGCGTGCGGCCTCGGCGATGAGGGGAACGAGGTCACTTAGGTCGGTCCTCGCGCCGATGCCGATGCCGGCCGCGCCCGCTGCAGCATACGCGAGCGCCGTCTCGCGACCGATGCCTTTTGATGCGCCGGTGATGAAGACGTAACGGCCGGAGAAGTCCCTCTTTCTGGGGTCGATGGCGGGGTAGGTGTCGTGATGACGCACCGAGGTGAAGTAGAAGCCTGGTGGTCAGCAGGGGTTCGCAATGGGTTTGGAGGGAGCCTACCAGTGTGGATTTCTTCCGACATGATTCTTGAATTGGGTTATTGTTGCTCCGGAATTGATGTTGGGATGAGCCATGTCATGCTGGCTGCACTGCAGTTTTTAGTCTCGAGAAGTCGCATTGCGTGATCGCCGGTTCTCATTTCTAAGCATCCCGAAAAGGGGCCCGCTGAGGAGTCACCAGCTGCGATGCTGCCCCACGCCGACGAGCCGTGTTGCCGGCGCCGATGGCGGGGCTTCCGAATATCCACGAAATCAACGATCTATTACTCATATGAAGCTCTAAAGACCATCTATTACACAGCAACAGCTTCTT